AACATGGCAAGATGATAAATAGATAAATAGATAAATAGATAAATAGATAGATAGATAGATAGATAGATAGATAGATAGATAGATAGATAGATAGATAAATAGATAAATAGATAAATAGATAAATAGAAAATTATGCATATACCTACATATATTACATGACACAGAGAAACAACACAGTCTAGTTCACATGTATTCATGCACATGGTGAGAGAAACGAATCTTGTGAGTTTTGCACATGGATGGCCAAGTGAAAAAAGCTGTTACAGAATCGGGAAGTCCTGCTAGAAATACTTTGAAACCTACTCCCAGAGGGGAGCGACAGAAACAGACCGTGAAGTGGTTGTTTGGGGTCACTAACAATGCTTTGTGGTCTAAGCACATAGCACTTACAAGCAGCATCCTGAATGGCACATCCTATCATCTTCTCCGCTGCAGTCACCACTCTCTGTAGGGACTTTCTATCTGAGGCACTGCATCCACCAAAACAAACAGTGATGCAGTGTGTTAAAACACTCTCCATTGTGCCTCTCTAAAAAGTGCCCAGGACAGAAGAAGAAAAGTGGTTAAACCCTGGGTTTAACCTTTCAACTGCAGTGATTCACTTAACAAATATGACAAGGAAAATAGTAAAACGGGGCAAAACTCACTTAACCCATTTCTCCCGTAGAAACTGAAATTCTGGCTTCAATTGTGGTCATAAGTCAAGGATTTCCTGTATTTGCTGACAAAAGCATTCTGGTCAAAAACGAAGCATCTCAGCAAAGGAGAAAAGATAATGTGGTTCCCCCGCCTAAATTATCTAGTTTAGAAAATATATTTTTTTGGCGATAGGAAGGGCATCTGGCAACTAAAAACTAAGCTCCATTCAATTGCGGCGACTCCACCTCACAAGGGATTACAGGGTTATTAAACAACAACAACAACATCTGACCTGAAAATGATTTTATTTAGTTTTAAGCATAATGCAGTGTCTGCGAACAACGGCTTTACATACAATTTAAAACATTTTAAACATGATTGTAACCCCCCCCTTCTCGAGTTTTGTAACAAAGCTGTCACAGTCTCGAAAATCTTACATGATTCAGTTGTCTCAGCTACTAACTATCACAATTTTAATTCTAGTTTAACTTCCGGGGATCTCATCCCTTACTTAAAAAATTTCCAAGGAGGGGGGCATGCATAAGCACACCAACATGCCTATCATCAATTTTTTTTTCTCATTTTGCTTGTTCGAATGTGTAATTTTCGCTGGATGGATTAATAAATCAATCAAATAAAAATGAATCAATATTGTACTCACTGCCACATTAATCTGTCCATCTCTGACCCTGTTTTTGTCTCCACAGATGCAGGTCTCTCAACTGCTATGGGGATGCCCTTCCTTCTGTGGGGTCTCCTTCTTACCTGGACCACCCTCGGGTCTCTAGGAAACCTCTGACAACTGGGCCATCAAGGGAGAGAGCCTCCCCTGGGAAGGAGGCCAGGTGCAACATGCAAAATACCTTTGCAAGAAAGTAGCTTGTTTGCCCCACTGAAAAGACGAAGCACGAGGATTTCAGGCAACACCAAAAAAGGTGTTTATTCAGGGAGGATGCAGAAACCAAGGAGGATTCTATTGGATAGCGGATGATTGTATCAGAAATCGACAACTCAAGCAATAAAGGTCTTTGACGTACAACGAAAGCTTTGTTTTATTAGACTGCAGAAAACACAGACCTTCCCCCATTCCCCACCCTGACCCACTGTAGGTTAAAACTGCACCTTTCCCCCCTCCCAGCTTTGCTTCTTTATGCATGCTTTGCTGCTTTAATTGGGGAGTTTGAAAGGCAGCCCTATTGTTTGGTTGATCAAAAGGCTAGTTTTGGCCACTGAAGTAAATGACTCTGACTTCTGCTCTGCTCTGCTCTATGAATTCCAATTCCAATTCTGCTATTCTATTTAATTCTAACCTATTCTAGTCTAATTCTACTATTGTACTCTATTCTGTTCTGTTCTGTTCTATTCTAATTTTCTACGATGCTCTACTCATTCCAATTCTAATTCTGCTATGCTATTTAATTATAGCCTAGCCTATTCTATTCTAATTCTACTATTGTCTTGTGTTCGCCTATTTCTTGCTCTGTATTTTCCTTTTGATTTTCTATATTTTTTACCCGTTAATGATTCACACACACTTTCCAGCATCCCAAATAATTCCTCATACATCCACATCTCCATTTTACGAGTTGAATAATTTTTACACATTTTGAAATGTTGAGGTTATGCCACATTTACCATATTTTCCAGAGTATAAGACGCACTGGAGTATAAGACGCACTAAGGTTTTGAAGAGGCAATTTTTTTAAAAAAGTAGGTAGATAGATAGAGGGAATGAGAGGGAGAGAAAGAGAGATAAATATAGTAGGTAGTTAGGGAGAGAGAGAGTAGTTAGGTAGGTGGCTAGGTCTGGTTTTGCCTTCATCAAATGATTTACTGAATAAAGTTTTGCATTCGGAGATTGGATCGTCTCAGTCGTGATTGCTTTGGTTTGGGTTCATCAGTCAGAAGGCTGACAGCGAGATTTTGCCCACTGAAGTAAATGATTCTGACCCAAAGGGGAAAAATATATAGTGTAAAGAGAACCCCCTCCCCAGAATAACATATTTCCCTAAGGATGGTCCCCCAAAAGAGAAGAAAAGATCAACCCCTTAAGAATAGATGAGAAACCTCACTTATCTTTTCTCCCCCAAGACAGCTCACAGGCCTAATTTGAAGAATTCAAAAGATACAATGCCACCCATTCAAAAAACTCCCATTCAGAAAACACTGCACAACAAAGCAATCTCTGAAAAGGCAGACTGAGTAGATAAAGGACTGAAATTGATTACACAGGTTAGGGCCAATTTAGAAGAACAAAAACACTCATACTTAGATTCCTCTTAGCCCCAAGGATCAGCCACAAGATCATACACAACAAAAACAAAACTATAACTATAGCTATAACTATAACTATAACTATAACTATAACTATAACTATAACTATAACTATAACTATAACTATAACTATAACTATAACTATAACTATAGCAAATTAGAGTATTGTCTCCAGCCCAAAGAACACGGAAAGAACACATATTCACACATCGATAACAAAGAACTCAGCAACATATAAAAACTCACTCACCAACAAACCGAATGTCAGGCCTGCAATCATATTCCTTTTAGAATTTTGGCCTGCCACANCTGGCATAAAGCAATTCTGGTTTTGAGATGAAACAGTTGTTTTGAATCACTTTCAAGTGATATATTTTAAATGTGAAATAGTTCAAATGTTAAAAGTTTAGCACTTCCATAGTAATGATTATTTCATATTTGTTTCCATCTGGTAATTAATCATTAGTTCTTGGGTTATGTAGTATTTCTGTTGCTTGTTAAGAACTCTGATCAAAGCTGAATGTTTGTATATGTGAGTCCTTGAGTTCAGCATCATAGTTGATAAATTTTATAATCCTTAGAATGTTCACTACAAAATGCTGTAGATTTTTTGTTCTCTAGATAAGCCAATCATACTAAAACAATAGAACATGATATTTTATAAATATTTTAAGTTTACAAATGTTTAACTGTGATGTAAATGCTTTGTGGATTCAAATGTGTTGTGTAATATTAACATTTAATAATAAAATAATTTTAGATGTATTTGAGCATGCCACTGATGAAAGCTTTGCAGAATTAAGTAAAACATTTTTAGGAGCATGAAGAAAAAGATTATCAGTGTCCTGAAATTTTAGCTGAAGAAAGCAGCACAGTTCTGAGGAGAAATAGCCAATCTTTATTCAGTTATCATTGGGTCCCTGTTTTGCAAGAAAGAGCCTGAATAATAGAAAGGCAGAAATCTTTATACATTTTGAGGTTGACAAGCAGGAAATCTCAAGAAGCTGATTCATGGACACATTTAGAGCAAGAAAAATAGGCATTTAAACAAAGGAAAATGTATTTGTAAAGCAAAACTGCTAAGCATGCCATTGTTAAGAAGATGGGCTATCTGTGCTCTCTCACTGTTTCCTGTTTTAGGTGAGGAATTTTCATAGTTTTTGTGATAGGATTAAAAGGCAATTTTGGTGGAAACATAACTGTGTTTAAGTTATGCATTAGCCTGGGGCTGGTCCAGTTTACATATTGAAGTTGGAGGGGTAAGTAAGGATAGCAGAGGAAGTGGTTAGTTTGCAACTGGCAGGCAGGGAGGTAGGAGAAAAAGACAAAGAAAAAGGGGGAGAGGAGTTTGGAGAAGAGTTTGTAGCTTTATTTTCTTATTTTCCTTCACAATCAGTATATGCTTTGTAATGTTTAGTTTTGTTTCTTTATGTTGGGATTAAATCAGTTGTAGCTGTTCTAGGCATGATTCTGTGAAAAGGCAGCTTAAAGCAGTGGTCTCCAACCTTGGCAACTTTAAGACTTGTGGACTTCAACTCCCAGAGTTCCTCAGCCAGCAAAGCTGGCTGAGGAACTCTGGGAGTTAAAGTCCTCAGGTCTTAAAGTTGCCAAGGTTGGAGACCACTGGCTTAAAGATTAGACTGGGGCAGTCTTGCAGGTAATTGTGGGTTGACTGCTGGGGCAGAACCAGGTTGGTCTATTGAAAAGCTGAGGAAGAAGCAAATCTGAAGGAATTTGCTTATAAAGGGG